CCTGTAGACCAGGCCAAGTGCTCGTCTTGGGCACTCCCGGTTCCACAGACACCCCCCCAGCACAGGGCCAGGTACAGAGACAGGACTCAGAAAATATCTGTCCAAGTCATGACCAAATTTGTCTTTTCTCTCCTGTTCATCTGTAAACCTTTAGCTGAGGGTCTTACCTCTTTGTGGCATGTGCTTTCTCCTCTCCTCCTTACTAGACCCACTTCGGGTCACCTCTCAGATCCCATCTCAGATGTCCCTTCTCCAGGGAGCCTTTCCTGAACTCCACCCAAGGTCAGGAGCCACCTCTGGGCTCCCCCAGCTCCCTGACTTCCCTGTCATGGCTCTTGCCAACATCTATGTGTTACCAATGGGTGTTTCTCTCAACTTCGATCTCCAGGAGGCCAGTAGGCACAGGGGCAGCTGTCCATGAATGCATGTTGAATAACTAAATGACTCACTTGTTCTGTCTCTGACCTCCACAGCCCACGGGAGTCTTCAGCCGACTGGGGGCTACCCCAGAGATGGACGAGGATCTGGCTTGGGACAGCGACAATGACAGCAGCAGCTCTGTTCTACAATATGCCGGGGTCCTGAAGAAGCTAGGCCCGGGCCCAACCAAGGCCAGTCCCCAGCCAGTGCCGACTGTCAAAGCCAAGGCCACAAGCTCAGCGATGACGGCCAACACCCCTACATTGCGGCGCCTGGCCCTTCCCTCCCGCCCAGGGTCCCTGTCCAAAGTCAGCATCATCCAGAGACTGGGCAAGGCTGCCCCTGTGCCTGAGGCCCAGGACAGCCAGGTCACGAGCACCAAGAGTAAGTCATCAGCCGAGGTCAAGGTCACCATTAAGAGGACTCTGGGGCCCCGGGGGAGCGGCTCCAGCGAGGGCCTGGGTGCCCAGATGGACCATGCAGGCACTGTGAGCGTGTTCAAAAGACTGGGCCGCAGGACCTTCTAGCCCACAGGTGGGGCACAGGCCCCTCTCCAGGCTCTTGACTCCATCAGCCTTCAGCCAGGCCCACCCTGGGATGGCACTGCGGCCTCCTTCAGGCATTCAGGCCGGCCCGAGCTTTGTGGGGCTGCATCCCGTTTACTGAGTCCGAGATGGTCGTTGTGGCCTGGCCTTGCCACTCTGGGACTTTCCCTTCTCTCACGTCCTCTGTTCTGTCCTCTCTGACTGTGGCTTGCAGGGCCCTCTTTTCTACCCCTCCCGAGTGCCAAGTGCCCTTTATCTCTCCTATATCCCCCTCCCTCCCTCTC